TTGTCGAACAGCAATTTGAATGAATAAGAGTCGAACAATAGATAGGGGAACAAAACGGAATCGATGCATCTATACATGTGTCGATGATACTCGGCAATGTTTACCGGATCTGAGATTGAAAATTGCATTTTAATTAAAGGGTAAGGTTAGATGCTGCGAAATTATACATGGGACGAGCGGTCGGGCGCAGTTTCATCGAAGGGCAACTTGTTGATATTGGAAATCGTAGATTGGAGGGAATCTGGGGATTCGTAAGTTCGACGCTGATGGCACGGATTACGGCGAAGTCAATTAACGATCGGTTGCATACGATAACTCGGCAGAAACGGAGACCGATCAATTATATCCCGCTTTCTATTCCCAGCCCGGAGTGCAGAAAAATATTAACGAAGCCTAGCTCCTATTCATACAGTTCGTTGAAAGCAACCGCTTAAACGTATCGCTGTAATTAAAATGATTATCGGCGAGAACCGATTTAATCGGAGGGGGAAGCGGCGAATCGTGGATCGTCTTTTCTCGCGGCCGCGGATCGAGCCTCGATTTGCTTAATTGGCTGATAGCCAGTTATTACGAAGACGCGCGGGCCGGTATTCAAAGTCAAAGGGGGTTGACCGTTCGCGGATGAAACCGTAATGAAAATCTGCACGACCCCGACCCGAATAAACGATCCACCGGGATAAACTCCGCGTTTCGGTCGCGGCGTTTCCTCCATGAATTATTCACGAATCGCGCGATCTCGCTTTCCTCTCGGTCGTTCACTGTCCGTCATCGATCATACCTGATTCTGAAAATTCGAAGCTCGATGACGGTCGATATTCATCCCTCTAATATACCCGTCGACGAAACTAATGGCTCGTCGCGAAGAGCTGCCGTCTGGCAATAAGCAGAAACTTTTGGCCGGTCCGGGAAACCTCGGCCAAGAAATCTGTCAAAGTCAAGTTCTTTGCGCGATTCTTTCGAAGCGTCTGCCACGGGCAACGCGGTATGAATCCCAAGCGTTTTGCTCCGCCGTCGGAATTGACGTCCGCTATCTACCCGCGCGATGCATCATCCTCGGGTTAATCTGTCGGCGTGAATCCGTCCGCCAGCGAATCGAAGGATATCGTTTTTTATTAAAGATCACTCGCAGATCCTTCAGCTCGCAATTTCTGACATACTTACGAAATTAACCTGTCCACCGAAAGGCTCAAGTTTACCCAACGTCGCGTCATTAAAATAAGAGAATCGAGTCTCTCTTACGATTTTCAACTTTTCAATACGAACGCGTAAATTGAGAAACGACTGGTATTTGAATTTTTATTCGTATTCTGTTTAATCTGGTTCGGGCAACGTTTTCCTCGCGAGAAAGGAAGGGCCTGGCTGGGTTTCGAGGGTGTCCCGTTCTCGTTCCCGATCTCGGGTCCAAGAGACGGTTGACAAAAAGAGGGCGGCGAGCGTGCGAACCGCAGCGAAAGTGAATTCCGTGGTCTCGGGTTCGACTTTCAAAACACGCGAACGCAACCAACGACTGACTCTGCATTGCGTCGCGTCGCGTTGTTTCACGCGCGTGGCTCCGTTCCAGCATTGTCGCGAAGGAATTACGGTAGAAACAGTGCCGAATCGATAATAGGCGGATGAAAGTGCTTGGCTACTTTCAATCGGTAGAATAATTACATTTTTAACGTCGCACTTGACACGCTTAAACAGAAATAAACGAACGTGACACGTTTATCCAATGTTTGCGAGAAAAACTATTGCATGATAGAACGTTCTTTAAAATATCGAGGTGCCTTTTACCCAAAATATTTTTCAGATCTCGTTAATTTTCCGCTCTCTATTCTTGGTCGAGCGTCTGTCCCTCGATGAATGTCCGCTGGTATTAGAAAGGCAATTAGACCGCTGCTAATAGCGTACACGGATCGACCTTTCCTGTCGAGATCCTAATCTCGCAGGAACCACCCGTTACTCTTGGTAATCTAACGGTATCCGGTTCGTTAGCATCGGGCAACGATCTCGTATGAAGATGTTCGAAAAGAATGAGGGTACCCTTCGCGGCCGATGATTCGATGTATAGATCAGAGCCTCGCGACGTCCAACGTTCTCGATCTCTAACGTTGAAATCGGTCGTGATGTAAGATACGTCGTGAGTTCTCCCCGAAGGGTCATGAAATTTATGAATTTTCTTAACTGTCTCACGACGACTAAAACTTGCGCGCAAATCGTACGTTAAAATAAAGCGAGCCGATAAAACGGAATGCACTATGCGGGTAATAAAGTAGGTGACGTCTCGTGGTGTCATAACGAAGTTATACTGCTGAGAGAAAAGCTCTGACTGCGTTTACCGCAAAACCGGGGACACCACCTCCGCCTCGAGCGCGGCTTCTCCCGCGTCGTCGACACCAGGATCCGGCTCGACGACCGGCTAAATCAATGTTTTCAATCACTGGAACGATACTAAGGAAAAACTGATTAAACGCTTGTAAACTAAAGAGGGGGAAGTTATTATCGCTACACGGCGAAGTCATCGGATCCGTGAAAACTAACGTTTCCGATCCGACGGAGTCAATTATAGGCCAATGATGTCATAGCCATTATCAGTGGTGCAATTCCGCGGAATGTCGGTCAACTAAGTTATGAAACTGCAAGAATCTATTCGCCGCGCACGCGGCTCGGTGGCAGCTGTTGCTGCTGCCTGCCTGCCTGCCTGCCTGTACAGACTGTATGTGGTACACTTTCTCCCGGGCAAAGATAAATATCTTCGCGTGTGTCTGTGAGACACGGTGGTGTTCTCTTTTATAAAACGCACGAGCGACTATTTGCTAACGCTCGATCGAACTCGAACCTCGGGATTTGTGCCTGCGCTCGTGTCGACCGACCAATTCGCTGGAAACAGTGAAAAAGCAGCAGTTGACGCGTGAGTCGTTCCGCGGCGTTCGTATACGTCGGGCCCGATGATTCTTTGGAAATTACGCATGTTCAATCGGGCAGCCAGCCCGTCTGTATTGAATCATACAAGGATTTTCACAGGATGCCCCGTTTCCCACTCCCTGATGATTTATCGAGATGCCCTGTCGTGCGCTTTTTTCACCCCATTTTTTCACGATAGGCAATGGGGGAGGGGGATGAAGATTAACGTCGAGAACCGGAGAATTTTTCTCGTCGCGATGAAATATATGGGAATTCGATCGACACTCGGACGTTATTTGTTCTCGAAAACCGTTCGAACCGGAGCGAAGCGCAATGGTGCCCGATAAAGAGCACGCCGGGTGCTCGATGATACGGGTATTTCATTCGAAACGTTATGGATTATACGTTCCGATTCGCGGGCGAACTATCATTTCCATGTCGCACCGTTCACGGGTCTTGTCTATGTATATTACTTACGTCCTTTCTTCCTCTCGACCATCGGGCGCACAAATTATTATTATCAGCGGCGAATTTCTACGATGCATAGATCAGAGCCGTTCGCGGGCGAACGCGACGGCGACGTCCGTGAACGGAATAACGAGAAAATGACGCGTTATCGGTAACATAGTTGGCATCCATCCGAGTCCTCGCCTGTAAACCAGACCACCAGGTCAATAAAAATGAGCCGCGTTTCGATTGCTCGTTCGTCCTTCTCTTCTGAGTTTACGTCGTTGATCTTCCGGATTCTCTCGAACGATTTCAAGCAGTTTCAGGAGGAAATTACGGAAACGCGAGCTACGAGATATCCTCGTACTCTTCGTTATAGCTGTTATGAGTTAGAAGACTAGTTCCCTGGTATATTATACAAATCTTGATTCTGATGTTGAAACTGTTTAAAAATCTGTTCGAACAATCTCCGACTGGAACCTAAGATTATTCAAATAGCCTTATTTTCCTCTAAGGACTTAACTATTTTCCTCCTTTCCTACTTCACTTGGACAGGACGTTCAACCGAGCATTTTGGCAAGCGTTTTGCGGTTAGATTAATGATCCGAGGAAAGATCGCTGCAGGGTGTACCGCGGAGCGTTGGAAGCTCGGTCTTATAGCGCCTCCGGGAGAATTTTGAACGGCACATTCTTAATTCACACTCACCCGAGTCGAACAAGTGGGGAAGGACCTTCGAACGCGTTCAAAACAACGAGCTAAGATCCGCGTTATGTATTTCTAATAGCTCAATCGGTCGAGGCGATCAGTCAGCGAGACATCCGGGTTTGAAGTCCGGGTTTTAGGATCCATCTCTCTCCCGACCGCTTTCTACAAATTAAACATACCATTATTTTTATGGTCGAAGTACAAGGTGTTTAGAAACGCTTCGTAAAATGGAAGCACAATGAATTTTAATATCGAGCGACGCGAGCAAAGAATTTTATTAAGAGAAAAATGATATGAAAAATTGCGTGCAAAACTCGTTTCTACAAGTTTTGCCAATCGTTTCAATATTAAAATACGATAGGTCGTAAAAGTATGAGAACCTTCGATTCCGCGGATGTAACATTGAACGCAGTCGTCCGCGCCTCGACTTTGAAGTTTGCACGGACAGACAGTCGTGTTCGCGGAAATCCGCAAAGCCTTGCCACGGCACCGCGAGAGTCCCGCAAGGCCGTTTTAAAACGATGGAATTCGGGCCAGTCGTTTCCCTAGAAAGGAGCACGCCGCTTGCTCGTTCTCGCGCGACCGGAGCGTGCGCTTGAAATAATAATAATGATAAAAAAGGAGATCCTTTCGGTCGGGTCCCACTCCGCAAGCCGGCCGTATTTGTTTTTTCGCGTTTTCGATTGACGAGCGCGGAACGAGGAGGAGAGAAGAGATTCGAAAGCGGAGGTGACGGTCGACCGATTCTCTGAGCGACTTCCGCTTTTCCTGAGACATCGTCGCCGGTTCGTTGTCGCGAACGCGGAAGACTCGGCGATTAATCGAGTCGAACATTGATCGAGCTGCTCGCGGTGGGCCAGTTTTTCTTCCTCGCGTTCGCGCGATTCTTTTTGCCAACGGGGAAAAGTTGGAACGTAGCGACCATTCGTTCTCCGTGTTACGAATCGAGCGCGAGAGAAGCGTCGAACATTTCTCAGATCCACGAGCCACTGAATTCGTCCTCCTACTTGCGTTCAACGAACGATCGGTAAGTCGTTTCTGAAAATTTAATGCACAAGTCGTTACCGATCGTGAATTTTCGTAACGAGTTACGTCATTGCCGCGGACGAGCGTTACGGCCTCGGGAACGAATCGAGGAAGACGACGACGCGTGGGGCAAACTACGTAAATACGAGCGCGTATTAAATTAATTCCCCGGTCGACTCGTCGTACACACGCGTGTACGTACGTACGTACGTCCACGGTGGAAAGGCTATTGTGCCACTCCAGGATTCCGACGTGAGTCACACATAACCCGGTACAGCGGACCGGATTGTCCGAAGCAAAAGCGCGGCACGGCGTGGCTCGCCTAATCGAGATCAGGCTGACTCACTGTCCGACAGGCCAGCCTTTCCCGGCCGCCTAATAAAGTGGGTTTAGGCCGTGCGGTCGTATATGTACTTACGTAGTTACGTAGATCACCGGGGTCGGATGAACCTTGCCTGTTGTCAGACTCGCGCTCGGATGCCAGCGGCCATAAAAGGTTGCCAAAATTTCTTCCCGCTGTTCTCCTTCTCGGTTTTCTAGTCGCGAACACAGGTTGATTGAAATTTGACTAAAATTAAAAGTCCTGAACGCATTCGCATTTTCTATGATACTCTCTCATGCTCGTTTTCTATGTATCTGACGTGAGACAGTGTTCGTTCGAATGTACATATTCTTGTATTTCATTGAAACCAAGATTTCCCAAGATTCTTCAGTAAAATCAATAAATAAAAAGTAATTTCAAGTGGTTTGTCGTTTACGCTTGTAAATGTAGAGGTACAACTGTAAGCTCGCACGTTGGATGAGTCATAAGTAAACGGCGAGCGATTGAACGAAGCTCGGGGTTGAACGCGAGGCGCCGCGCCGGTTTCGAGACAGCGAATCCTTTTGCGCGGTGATTCGGGCAGGCGGCTCGGATGCCCATAAAAGGACACGAAACTGCCGAAACCCGTGTGACTCTCTCGGACAACGCGACTCGCCGCGACGGCTGAGATATTCTTATGACGAGCGAAACCGCTTCTTATGGCGATGATACCAGGAACGGCTTGTCGCTTGTCGCCGATCACCCGACTCGCGAGATACACAATTTCTCCTTACGATTTCCAGCCGATCCGAGCGTCGGTACAAACGCTCCGACGTATCCGTTTTTACTCGATCTTGCATACTGCGCGTAAGAAACCCGGTTGCATTCTTTGCGCGATTCGCCAAAAACCGTCGAGTTCCCACCGCCTGAGTTCCCACGAAATTGTTCGTCAAATGGGAAACGAAACGCGAGCCGTTCTCGGACAAATTGGGCAACGTTCGTTCCTTGTCAATTCGACACGTTTACTCCAAACAGCATTTATTATCGCACGCCTGATGAATTTATTTTCTTGAACAAAAAGAATTACGTGAATTCGCTCGACCACTTGACAGCAATGAGTACGTAGGAGGGCGATACCAATTTTTTTCCCACGATTACCGTAGCTTCAAGTTCGCGTGTAAAGACGTTCGAATCAATTGGGATATATACGTACATCGCGTAACTCGTAATTTTCTGGAACATTACTCGCGTCTCGAGCTGTCGGTGTGCGCGCGTGCATCTATTTACCCCGGCGCGTACTTAGCGTGGATCATAATCGGCGACGAGATGCGTGCGAGCGTACGGCCTGTTGCGCAGTTCGCCAGGACGGAATTCCGGCCGTGGAGACGCGGAACGCTATGTAGGTACGTAGTATCCGCATACATACATATTTCGTTCCGCGGAGCACGTACGTTTCTCGTTTACGCCATTCGCCGCTAGTACATAGGTAACTTCTTTGTAACTATGCGAAGCGCACGTTCGCTGGAGGAAGTAACGAGTCGAATCTTAATCGGTGGTTTTCGCTTAGCAGAGAGGAGGAGGAGGCGACCCTTTTCAAAAAGTCCCTTGATTCATTCTCGTTCGAACGGGAGGGATGGGGGGTGGGTATAGAGAAAAAAGAGGGGAGGGAGGAAGGAATGTTGCAACACGTGTAACATCGGGACACCAGTTTAATCAACTTGTTCGGCTTATCAACGAGGAATTCGAGTTCCGAGGCTGCGGGAAGATTGGTGAGGCCCACGTTCACTGTGGTCCCCGCTCGGAACGAGGTATTAATTGAACCATTCATCTCGGACGCGGCGATATTAGGCGGTTAAACCAGAGGGAACCGCGGGCAGACATTCCCGAGGAGCATTAACGATTCCAGCGGGGTTCCAAGGCTCGTTTCTTCTCCTACCGTTCTTCGTAGCTTCGTGGCGGGTGGCATCGGCGGATCGGCGACCGCGAAATAAGAAGGAGGCAACGCGGTCAACGCGGAGGTGGAAAAGAAGCGTGAGAATCGAAGGAGCGAAGAAGGGCCCCCGAGCGAGAGACGAGAACGACCGTTGGAACGCGTAGGAACGCACGAGGAGAGAAAATGAAACGGGAAAAGAAGTTTTCGGAGGGGCAGAGAAAAAACAGCGCGGGACGACGAGAACGAAGACGAAGTAGACTCGCGTGTCGGCCAGCGACGTCAGGCGAGAAATAAAGTCGAAACGTGCAAGACGTGCTGCAAAATACGTTGCTTCGTTTCGCACGGTGAAGTTGAGAAAACGAAGAGCGATGACCATGTTGAATCTAGATGGTCGGAGGACAAGGACCGTGAAGAGAACCAGTTGGGGAGAGACGTACGTGTATGAAGTTCTGTACGTATGTATTAGACTGTGCTTCGCGGAGACCGGTCGCGAAGATCGATGAACAAGAGAAGGGGCGAAGAGGAGCGAGGGTGTAAGACGACGAAAAAATAACGAAGAGCGAACGAAGAAGCGCGCGGAATGCAAAGGAAAGAAGACGAGGAGGCGGTTAAAACCGGCAGGAGGACGAGAGGAAGAGCAGCGGCACCACCACCGCCTGCGTTCACCGCGAGGAAGAGAGGTAAGGCGAAAAAGGGCGAGGAACGTGGCTGTGGGATAAGGCCCTGTGCGCGGCGTGGCGCGGCGTGGGCCCTGCGCCGATTCTGCGCGCCCAAGGGCGGTTGTTGGCGGGCGAGCGTGCTAAGAATACCGAAGGAGGAGAGAAACGGCCGGGAAGAATGTAAAAGACAATGGAATGTGTCGCGTCGCGCATGCGTGGCTCCGTGGAATGCGGCCCCGTAACGGCACATCCGTTGGCCACGGTGTCTGCCACGCTGAAGCGCGGGGCCTTATTGCGCGCAATCGCGCGACTCGAGTTCCCCGGGTCTCTTCAGAGACACCGCTCACGGAGTTCTGTACGACGTTGCCTGCTTCCAACAAAAATGGATCTTTACGTTTCGACGGACCATCGAATAAAACAATTCCGAAAGCGTTCGTTCGTGATCGAAGAGGAGAACGGCAAAGGTCGTAAACAGAACTACTATTATTATAATCGTTTGTCCGGCGATGCACTTTTAATGAACCGCGTATTCATCCGCACGGATCAATTTATTTCTGCCGCGAAGCTTCTCGTGCAAACTTGCGAAGCAACTTTGTGACCGGTGCTTGCTCTCCTCCCATACTTCGTCCCCCACGTTGAATATTCCTCGACGCGATGGTCCCGACCAAATGACTCTTAAACATAAGACGCAGCGGAGATCGCCGATGGAATGCGAACCCATTCTCGTTGATCGGTGGATAATCGCCTGTTTAGTGACGCATCGTGCAACACGAAGTCAACGGCGGCAATCAGGTGCTGTCGGGGAAGCGCAGGACGTTCCACTTTGTCTCTGCTTTAGAAAGTAAATGTACCAATGGAGAACGATAGCAATTTGGAATTCATGAAACATGTCGTAATTCCGATTCAATCCTGTCGTCGATCTGACACGATCATTTAAAGAACGAGTCGAATCAATTCTTTTTAATTATTAGATGCTTTTGGTTAATCCGTTTGTCTTTTGCGATTGGTTCTAAGATTCAGGGAAATTTTTACTATCGCTCGCAAACGAAATGCTAGATTTGCATATAAATAAATAGATTTTCTGTTCGATATGGTCGAGGTTGGGGAAACCTCGACGCATTTTGCCGAAAACGTAGCTTAGTAACGTCGAGATAACGAAAATTACATGCACACGGTCGAACGTGCGTTTGCCCCGGCGACAACGTTGCGAGCACGAAGGATCTCGTGGTAACAGTTTCCACGAAAAGTGCCGTAAACACGCTAAAATGTGACCCCCGACATGAGGCGAATGGTAATGGCCGAACTAACGGTGGGATTCCTGGAAACGCGGAGTCGCTCCGCTCTGGAGAAGCGGAGTCGCGAGGCGCGACGTTACTATAAAATTGAACCCTTTTCAAACCGCCTGGAAGAATTTGTCCTTAACCTTTCCGCTTCTACCATGACTACGATATCTTACATTAGCAAACCAGACCTCAGCGCGCATTTTCTTTAACCTGAAAACGTATAACGATTTCATCAAATCTTGTGAATGGTATGCGATAGAAATTATAATAATGAATTTTCCTTTGTTTTCAATTTAACCCATTTTCTCATGATCCACAACTTTGATACGAAATTGAAAATGAAATTTTTAATACATCAATGTGTACAATGAAGTTCGTTTGTTTCTCCCTGGCAGCAAAGTTTTATTAGAAAATGGCTAGGAAGCTTCGTGAAACGGCGATCGATGGAATCGAGCCTATAAATAGCCGACAGGCATCGAGCCTCGCATTCATTATCCAGATTAATTTGGCGACGGGGGTCGGCACGGAATATCGAATATTAAAAATGAAACGTGAACGCATGCGAGTCTGAAATGATCGTCGAACGGAGGGACAGAGATTTCGAATCAACCCCGACGGTGTCGATCATGATTATCCTCGAGTCACCATGCTACTCACGCTTCTCGATGCGAACAGGAGAGCGACGTCGATTTCACCGTCTCGTTAATGGACAAATTTCGGCAACTGTCGTTAAACCATGACGAACGACCCTCGACGTGGTCCCCACTAAATTCCCAAACCCCGTGGCAATTAAACAGTACCCTGGGTCTTAAAGAATCACCCGATAAATCGTGTCTAAAAAATATTAAATTTTCTACTAAATTGTTCGTTGCTTTTACGAGCTAAAGACGTTGCATGTAACTGAAGGACCCCTTTTTACTGCCACGTGACACGGCAGAGGGTTAATTTCATTTTTCAATAAGCTTTAGTATCATCGCGAGAACGCTGGAGTTCCATTATACTGCATTAAGAGAGATACGAGCTCGACGGTCCTTTCGCCCTTACGCGATTTCCTTAAATCACGCGCCATTCCAGGACTGGGGCTGTTAAGTCGTCGTTCTCTTCTCGTCGGCCTTCTGTCCCCTCCTCGCTCGAAGGATCTCTCCGTGGAACGCGGCACGGCGACGCTGTTAACGAAAAACGTCCGGAAGCGAAATCTTCCGTTACGCGCCGCCCGGAAGACGTGCGTAAATTTTTTTTATTGCACCGCCGTTACTCGCCGGATTACAGGGAACGTTGGCACGCGAACCGGATCGACGCGTCGCGACGCGCTCCACCGCGATGGCGTTCTCGAACAATGGACCCGAGGAACTCAATGACC